TTCAAAGGGCCGGCAAAATGGGCTACAACAAACAAATACATATAAAACCAGAGAATGACAGGAAAAATCTGATGTTTGGGGAAAATTATCATGTGGGGTAGTAATAGAAAATCTTTACCTTTTTGTTTGAGAGAGAGACCTTCACAGGCAATGCATTCTGGCATGTTGCGGATTTGCAACAATGGCCGCTGTGGTAAGCAGAGCTCCATCCATTTTCTTCCCCTGAATCAATTTCTGGGTCAAGTCCACAAAGCACCAGCCCCTCACTGATCCTCCTGCAGGTCCTGAGTCCTTTCAGCGGGGGCTTCAGGCAAAGTGGGGTTAAGTGTCTTGCCCAAGAACACAACAAGAGCAGACATCAGTGGGAGCTGTGAACTAGGTCTTATGGTGGACGACCTTCAGGCCCAAAGGCCAATGCTCTACAAACTGAGCCACTCTCTGCTGTGAATTTTTTGTTATGTAGTACTTTGGTTTTATTTCATAATCAGTTCTCTGCTTTGGTTTTAGTTTGAATCAGTTTAGCTGAAACCAAGAAGACCCTTGGAAGTTATAAAGCTGTTGCAAATCTGCAACGTCTGCCTGGACAGGGTTAATGTTAAACAAGCATTTAAATCTTTTACCGTCAGAAACCATGGGCAGCCAGTGTGTCCCAGGGCAGCTGCGGCTACTGTAGAGGCCTCTCACCACCGTGTCTGCCGTGTGAAGTGTCTTTGAGCCTCCAAAAAGCACAATATAAAACACGGCACGGTGAGTGAGTGGATAGCGCTCTCGCCTGTCAGCAAGAAGGTCCTGGGTTCAAATCCCGGTTGGACCAGGGCCTTTCTGAGTCGAATTTGCATGTTCTCCCTGTGTCTGCGTAGGTTTCCCCCTATACAGATACACTATAAAAAAGACAACGAACACACTGAGGATGGATGGATAGATATATGAATGGATGGATGGCGTTGACAGCGGAATCCTTTTTTTCTCCAAAGCACATCCAGACTTTGGCCCCCGCAGTAGACGGAGCCCGAGCGGCGCCACAGTCAGCGAGGCGCCACAGTCAGCGAGGTGAGCGTGACCGTTGGGTCCGACAATAGAACAAGTGGCTCGTAACGGCGGCCATGATTGCGGTGTTATATCTGTGGCTGATTACAGGTCAGAGCTAACCACCAGAGCAAAGCCATGTTCAGCTGACATTATTGTTGTCCCTCTGCCACAACCTCCGAGAGACACGGCTAATAATATGTCATTCATACGTCAAGTGCTAACATGCGGAAACCAGCAGCTGGGTCTGTAAGGAAGTCAGCTTTATCTATGTAGAGCACATGGTTAAAGTGAGGTTTTCTTGGTCTGTAAGAAGTAAGTTATATTTATTTATATACCGCCTTTCACTGACCAGAGTCACAAAGCGGTTTACAATTGTTTGGGCATTTGTCTCTCACTCCACACAGAGATGGGAGCGGGGAAGGCGCATGCCAGACCTATTGTACATATTTTTAGTGGTAGGGGAAACCTACGCAGACACAGGGAGAACATGCAAACTCCACTCAGAAAGGCCTAGGACCTTCTTGCTGAGAGGCGAGAGTGCTATCCACTCAGCCACTGTGCTGCCCACAGATATTAACACAGACATTGCTGCACAAAGCAACAATGATAAAAAGTAGCCACACACTAGAGCAGCACAGTTCATCATTAAGGATCTGAAAGGTTTGTTTTCTTCCGGGATTTTTCCCTCTTCACATTTGAGAATCATAACGAGACCTTTTTTAGTTCTGCGCCACATGGTACTTTACCAGTGAGATTAGCTCCACATGGTACTTTACCAGTGAGATTAGCTCCACATGGTACTTTACCAGTGAGATTAGCTCCACATGGTGAGTTCTGGCGCCCGGATCACAGACTTTCTGATTGGTGAAACGGTGGAGGGCGGGACATCGAAATGAAAACAATAACAAGATTCAGGGGTTGTTAATACAAATTTGAAATGTGCACATCTCTTGTTTAACTGACAACAGAAGTAGAAGTAACAGAAGTATTTAGACTGAGCATGTTTTATTAATGCCTTTTGACAGATTAGGGACATTAACTGATGACTTGAAAATCTTTCATATTGCTGCTATAATATCCAGTATGATTGACTAAACATAAAAATATATTATAAAATGAGCAGACAGTAAAATATCAGCCTTCCTAATTAATCCGGAGGCATGGGAGGATAAAAAGTTGATCAAAAGCTTTGGCTAACTGCTGCTGTGAGAGTGGGGTTTGGAACAGGCCTGCAGTCCCTCTTTGTGCTGAGCTGAAATATGTTTCCACTCCTCTCCGAGTTGAGAGGCAATTTGTGAAGCTGGAGTATCATTGATCGCTGAACTGACAGTGAATCAGACCACTCCTCTTCAAAGTTTGTGAGAGGCCTCCACACGCTCCACACAGCCGGGTAATTTTAGACCAGCCTATCACAGCTCTTCTGAAAACGGACTAATGGCTCACGGGTTTCTGTTTGCAAGAGTTTCAAGTAAAAAAACAGGACTCTTCAGACTTCACGGTACAACTGTTGTGATGTTTGAAGCTAAAGCTGGTGTTGTGTCAATATTCTTTCATTCTACTTACATTTATGGGTCTTCATATGTATAGCATGTGATGGGACATGTCAGCACTCAATGTCTAAGATGCTGACCACTCTCTCTAAGTCATGAGACAGAGAGGACGTCTGATAAAACAATAGAGACCTTTATATGTGTGAACAACATCTGTATCATGAGACTATATCATGAGGTGCATATGAATGTCCGGTGATGGTTGTGAAGTGTGTATTGTGAATCTCCTAGTTTCTATAAGGGCTCGCTGCTTTGTGTGTTCGGGGTCATTCTTTCCATCTTGTCAGGGACCCAGGCTGAAGCGCTAAGCCTGAATTTGACTTAATGTATTCTGATTATGCCATTAAACTCTTTCTTTAATACAAAACTCAGAGTGCATTCCTTCTCCAACACCACACTGGTTTGTGCGAGGAACCCCATCTTCTGCTGAGGAGAAGATACACAAACACTGGGGAACATAACGTTTTGCCCCACATTGTTATTCCATGTGGTTTGTCTGAACAGAAAACATCTGACCACTGCATGAGAAAACTTGTCTTCAATCAACATTTATTTGTAGAGCGTCTTTCCTACACAAGGCAACGCAAAGCGCCTCACAACCCATATAACATCATGCATGAATCATCAAACATTATAATTTAAGTAAACATAAAAAGACAGATTAAGAGCACAAGATATATAAAAAATATAAAAAATAAAACCATAGTAAAATAGTTATAGTGCATTAAAAAGATAAAAGATAAAAACAAATGTTCTTTAGCATTCTTGTCAGTTATAATATACAAAGAAGATTAAAGATAATTGTGTATTTGTCCCATTGTGGGGAAATATCAGTTTGATGATCACAAATATACATATCAAGGCATGCAGCGTACAACTGCTCTGCACTCCTGAAGGGCAGAACCGCAGCAGAATGCAGTGGGAGTCGGTGGAGAAGGTCAATATGGTGGACTCGAACCCAAAACCTTCCGTCTCAAAAGCCAATGTTCCACCAACTGAGCCACTGTCGCCCGATTTTAACTGTTTGGCTTAAAGGGTGTGTGTGAATGGTTGGTGGTGGTGGGAGGGGCCGATGGCACAGACTGGTTGCCTCGCTTCAGTCAGTGTGCCCCAGGGCAGCTGTGGCTACACTTGTAGTTTATCACCACAGTGTTTGGAGAGAAAGAATAATGAAGCGTCTTTGAGTGTCCAGAAAAGCCCTTTATAAAACCAAAGTATTATTATTATTATTATCATTTGCTAATGTCACATTCAGCGATACAGATTCGGTGTCTGTTAGAATAGATCAAAATTGTCTTACATTTAATAAAAATACTTCCTGATTATCGGTTATATGTTTGTGAAACCAGAACCCTGGGTCATTCCCTTTTAAAACTGTTCTTGGACAGAAATGAACTCGTAAAGAAAGAAAGTTTTTCAATATTTTTCATCTCAAAAATAACTTTTAAACTTTTGTGAAGTTGAAATCTCTGCCGTTTCCACATTTCAAAAATGTTAGAATTTCATAAATACAACCGTTGTTTTGAGCCGTCATTACTGTGTTTTGTTGCTTTGTAGTTTTGACAGAGCGTCGACTCTCGTTCAGCCTGTCCCTGTTTGAATAAAAATAAAAATAAAAATAATACTATTTATTTGTGTGGCGCTTTTCAAAAACTGTGTTTCCAAAGTCAACAGTCAATATAATTTTAAAACAAAGAAATACAGGAACTGAAAACAGAGACACCCTCCCCACGTCTGGGAGCTGCCTGGGTCCTCGTTGTACAGTCTGAGTCCTGCAGGAGGGTCTAAGCATTGTTCCTCATCGTACAGTCTGAGTCCTGCAGGAGGGTCTAAGCATTGTTCCTCATCGTACAGTCTGAGTCCTGCAGGAGGGTCTAAGCATTGGTCCTCATCGTACAGTCTGAGTCCTGCAAGAGGGTCTCAGGATTGGTCCTCATCGTACAGTCTGAGTCCTGCAGTATTTGTATCATTTTGGTTGAATTGTTTGATTAAAGTCCTCCAAGATTGCTACTTTTAGGTTAGATTTAGGGCTGTACAAAAATACATTGAATTGAAATAAAAAACATATTGGATTCAAAAAAATAATTCTAATTGAAAAAAAAGAAAAAAAAAACGAATTGAATTGACTCAATGAGGAACAGTAAAATACAACAGACAGTTAAAGAAACGATGCTGGCCTTACCCCTCTAAAAAAAACTAAAATCTTATTTTTTTATTGAGCAGGAGTGTTGTAGAAATGCATCTAAACACACAGCTCCAGGGTCCCCAGCAACGACATGTCCAGCCACGCGCACACACTACACATTTTCCATAATCCTTCCCAAAAAACAAATCTTCCCGCCGAGTTTCCAGCATGACTCTGGAAAATAGAGCGTCTCAAACTGAGCAGCGTGGGCCCAAAATGAAACTCAATTATACGTTTTAGTCTGAGGAGAGTTTGCTTACCGCTTCCTCCACCTCCAGCCGAGCCGTGCGCCGCGCCGCTCTCGTATTCCCAATTTTTTCGGCCTTCGCTCCGGCCTCCGACGGCGTTCCCAAGCCGACTCCAAGCAGACACACAAACTTGGAACCGGACAATTTCTGCAAATGTGAGGAAGGAGAGAAGCCAGAACCCGCATGTTTCTAATCTCCTGACGCCGATTCCCACTGTTTTTTGGCGCGCTTCTTCTGTTTCCGAGAAGAGCAGGATGTACCGGGAACAGCGGGTCGCGGTGAAGCCGAGGACAATGGGAGCGCCGGGGGACGAAGGCTCGGACTGAAAAGCACTCTGCAGAAGTCCACAGAGCGAGCGGAGGGCGGCGAGCGGAGGGCGGCGAGCGGAGGGCGCCGAGCGGAGGGCGCCGAGCGGAGGGCGCCGAGCCGAGTCGCCGCTGTCATTGTCCTGGAGAAGAGGCTTTACTTCATGTGGACACGGGACACTGCACTGATACCGACATGTGTTGGGTTTTTATTTTATTCTAACAAACTGTGGATAATGGATCCTAACCCAGGCATGTCAAACCAGGACCAAATCCAGTCCCTGTTAATAGTTCAATTATTACTATCAACCAACTGTGCTCTGAACAATCCCGATGACGCAGGATCGCTCTGATCACAGGATGTCGGATTATAACCCAAGACTGGAAATCCACAACTCGTTCATCTTTCGACAAATGGATAAAAGCTGCAAGCTACGAAAAAGTGATCCTTAGGCTACACCGACAGCAAGACCTCTTCCTTAAGATATGGTCACATTTTATTGACTTTATAGGAGCTGCCTAAGGACACACAAAAATCTGCCTTTCTAAACCGTATAACATGAGTATTGGTCGGGTACTAATATGTATGAAGATGTGGGGAAAAATAAATAAAAAACTATTAACTTGAAGGTTATGGGTGTGTTATTTGATTCTAACATTTTAACCCAATCATTAGACATTTGAATAGTTAAATATAAAACAATGTGTTTAAGTTTTGTATTTGGTCCAGTTTTGGTAAAATCTAAACAATAGACAGATTTTGTTTTCAGTAAAATCAACCAGAGAATAATACTGAAACTCGTGCGACATGAAACTAAAAATAAAACAATTATTGGAAAAGAAATTCTATTATTTTGAGCAGTTCCTATTGTTCTTATTTTTAACCAGTTTTATTGTGCCTAAACACAATAAAACTGGTTTGTTGAGTTGAAGTTTGGCTGTAATTTTGACTTGTGAAGTGTCCAGAAAAGTGCTGTAAAAACCATTATTATTAGAATTAATGTAATCATCACAGTTTTTGTGTTTTTCCTTCAAGAGTGTGAAAGTGACAAATTTGACAAAGACTGAATCCTCTGCAAAGGGGTTTATCCTGTTGTTGGATCAGAATCTGCACACGGTCTCTCTCTGTGGACAATCGATGGAAACGTCTGGACAGGGCTCTGAGCAGTGGTTCCCGAAAGAGAGGTTTTGCAGGAGATTAGCTGCAGTTAAAAGAAGTGTTCCAGAATATTCTTTAAAATTTATAAATGATTTGAAAAATAGTTTGATGGTAAAATGATTTGGAAGTGATAGATCCAATATGTATGCAATAGTAAACAGAACAACATTAAGATGAGTCTAGCCTGGATTAACCCTTCACATTATTGCTATGCCACAACAGTAGCATTGTGGGTTCGAGCCCGCCACAAGGCCTTCTCCACCGACTCCCACTGATGTCTGCTACTGTTGGGTCCTTGAGCAAGACACTTAACCCAACTTTACCTGAAGCCCCCACTGAAAGACCAAGGCTGTGTCATAGAGCAGTCGTCCTCCTGTGGACTCAGCACCTGCAGAAGGATCAGTGAGGGGCCGGTGCTACTGTATGTGTACTGGGTGGCACATCTGGCCACCCCCCCCACCCAGAAAAGGATTAAGGGGTAGAAAATGGATGGATGGATTATTGCTATGATAAAGTGTGGGTCAGAGGGGAAAGCAAATCCGGTTCATTCCTATTTCGGGGGTTCCAGTCTGAAAAAAGTAAGCCCCTACCCTTGAGTGCCATGTCTGGGACTGCTGCAAGACAATAAATATCTATATTACCAATGTATCAAAGAAATGGACTGTTCCCCAGAGTCATGGCACTGAATGTTTTGTGGCTCACACCGAAACTAACACACTTTGTTAAGCTACTGTCATAAGATAAAACTAGGAAGTACCCAAAAGCACAACTGCAAAGAAATAAACAGGACAAAACACAACCACAACAATCCTGTATTCTGTTCATATTGTGCAGGTCTTTCCTTCCTGCTGCTGTCAGACTGTACAATGAGAACTGCTGGGCCTGTACATGTCATTCATCTTTAAATAGCAATTACTGCAATTTCAGAATCCCCACTGAATGTCACTTTATGTACTTATTATCTTGCCGTTTATAACTGTATATACCTTTACACTATAGATTTAGATTGACAGAGATAAAGTGATATTTACAGCTAGCTAGGAAATATAGCAGCTACTCATATTGTGTATTTTGTGTGCTCTTACTACTGCCCTGTCCTAACAATGAAATTTCAGACGGACGTACAGGTCTGTGGCCTGTGTTTAAAAAAGGTATTACCAAAGCTTTTACACACCATTTAGGTTGTGACCGCCGGGACCTGTGGACATATCATTGGATGTGTTAGTCATTACGGCGGTCAGCCTCCAGTGACTGAACTGTTGCAGAACTCTCCAACTCGGGCCTCAGCTGCTGCTTCTGCCGTTTTCAATCAGACAGACAAATGTTGCCCAGTGCAGAACCGCTCTTCTATCAAAACACCAATATAACCAACTGGGAGGCATGTGTATGTGTGTGTGTGTGTGTGTGTGTGTGTGTGTGTGTGTGTGTGTGTGTGTGTGTGTGTGTGTGAGTTCTCTGTCATGGAATTATAATAAGTGCATTGTTTAGAGGCTCTTGGTGTAATTATTATCCTTATATCGTTAAAAGCAGCGTGTTATACAGGGGAAATGCTTTCTGTGGCTGTAGCCTGTGATACAATACCAAATCATTATTTGACTGGTTGGTTGGCGGCAGGAGCAAAGGGAAGGGTTAAAGAGCTTGTCTGGATGATTAGGCGGTGATGGGGAGGAGGGGGGTTGCTGCACAAATGAAAGCTTTCTATGGCTGAGTGCAGCAGCCGTGGGAGGACGGAGAGCAGTGAGCCTGCGCACGTGTAGTTCGCTTTAATTTAATTTTCACTTCTACCAAACAACGATAGATATGGACGATAAAGTCCCTTGTTCCTGGCTCTAAATCAACTTTGTTCTGTCTCTAGTTTCCACATGTTCTGTTTGGCCTCTTTCACAGCTTCACTCCAACAGCTCCCACTGATGTCTGCTGTCGTTGTGTCCTTGGGCAAGACACTTAACCACACATTGCCTGAAGCCCCCGCTGAAACACCAAGGCTGTGGCACCACTGATGTAGCAGCCATCTTCCTGTGGACCCACCCCCTGCAGAGGATCAGAGGGACTGGTGCTATGATACTTCCCCGACCCAGAAATGGACTAATGAAGGGGTTGAAAATGAATGAATGAATGAACATATTTAGTTCAACTTGTAGAGACTTGAACAGACAAAACAAGGGTATTATTAGAAATGTATATTGTAACCCTAACCCTATCCCTTATTGTTGAGCATTGCATTTGCAACACTACTCGCACGTAGAAGAATTGTTATAGAATGGAAATCAACAACAGCTCCGAAAGTATCCACATGGCTTAAAGATATGATGATGTTCATGGAACTTGAAAAGATCAAATATAACATAAGTGGTACCCCTGAAACTTTTTTAAAGATTTGGAATAACATTATTATATATCTATTAAATCTAAGAACATTGTAAGAAGAATATTATATAATATTATTTTTGTATTTATTCATTTTCTTGTGTCTACTTTTTTTTTTCTTTTTTTTCTTTAACTTTTTTTATTTTGAACTGTTACCTTTCTACTTGGTGTGGAATATAATAAATTACAATAAAAAAAAAAAAAAAAAAAAAAAAAAAAGAAATGTATATTGTTGATAGTAATCTGACACTACATAAATCAAACTCTGAGGACAATATTTTCAAGATTACATTCATTGCTGCTGGATGGATTTGGTGCTTAGACTCCGGCAGAGAACTGTGATGAGGCAGAAGGGGAAACAGATTATGAGATGAAATCCCCCGGTGCTGAGACCCTGGTGGTGGGAGCTTGGAAAAAGGATGAAGGAGCTGGTCCAGAACGAGGAGATGGGGAGGAGGAGGGTTGTGGCGTGAATGAAGGATTTGCTTGTGCCGCTGCAGTCGAGTGTGAGTGACCGATGCTGCTGCCGTGAAGCAACAGTGGGAAGACTTGGAGCGCTGTGAGCTTAAGTTCTTCCAAATTTCTGCTTGAAAAAGAGCAGACCCCTCATGGCCTCACTCAGTCAATCAGCTCTCAGCCAACCAGCTCTCAGCCAACCAGCTCTCAGCCAACCAGCTCTCAGCCAACCAGCTCTCAGCCAACCAGCTCTCAGCCAACCAGCTCTCAGCCAACCAGCTCTCAGCCAACCAGCTCTCAGCCAACCAGCTCTCAGCCAATCAGCTCTCAGTCAATCAGCTCTCAGCCAATCAGCTCTCAGCCAATCAGCTCTCAGCCAATCAGCTCTCAGCCAATCAGCTCTCAGCCAATCAGCTCTCAGCTAATCAGCTCTCAGCCAATCAGCTCTCAGTCAATCAGCTCTCAGCCAATCAGCTCTCAGCCAATCAGCTCTCAGCCAAGCAGCTCTCAGCCAATCAGCTCTCAGCCAATCAGCTCTCAGCCAATCAGCTCTGAGCCAAGCAGCTCTCAGCCAATCAGCTCTCAGCCAATCAGCTCTCAGCCAATCAGCTCTCAGCCAATCAGCTCTCAGTCAATCAGCTCTCAGCCAATCAGCTCTCAGCCAATCAGCTCTCAGCCAATCAGCTCTCAACCAATCAGCTCTCAGCCAATCAGCTCTCAGTCAATCAGCTCTCAACCAATCTAACAATCTAATTTTTTTTTTCTCATTTTCGACAAATCTGTTATTTGTATTATTTCAGAAAAACACAAACTTATGTACCTTAGCTTTAATTTGACCTTGACTGTTCATCTTTTTCCTCCTTGGAGTATTTTTATAGACTCCATAGTTGAACAGAGTTGATCTTACTACTTTTGTTTGCTATTAGTCTGTGTGAAATGTATAACCATAATGCATTGAGACTGAAAACGGAAATAATTTGTTTTACAAGCTTTAAGATTCATGCAGCTTAAACCTGAACACATCTTCCAGAAAATGTAAGACAGGCTTCTTCTCTCACAATGTTCAATTCCAGGATTAAAACATTAAAACATTAAAACTGTGGTTATTTATGAGCCAGGCTGGTTATTTGAATGCCCTGTGTGATTGATTTTCTTGTTTTATTCAGCACTGTGTCATGCCTTGTGTACAAAATGTGCTATATAAATAACCTTGCCTCGCTTTAGGTCAATATCATTAAATGTACGAACACAATAATGCACCACACGGGTCATAGATCATCACCACAGCAGACAGAAGCGCGCTGTGCCTTCTTTAATTAACTTAATTATTCTCTCCATCCTCCTTCCTGCATTTATTTACATCTGACGGTTCAAAAAACACTTCCTCATTAGCACTTACTCATGATCCAAGACTGATTTAATGACTCCGTCCACGCCACGGCAAAGAACCCGTCGATATTTATCAAAAACACAGCACAGAATAAGTCCTTTGGCTGAAATGTCAGGGGGCGGCTAACCTTTTGGAGCGCGGCCTTTTGCTGCGGCGTTGACGGCGAGGAGCGCGCAGACGTGTCGGGGATTGGTGACATAAGTGAATGTTTGGGTTAATGATCTGGGCGTGTCCGCGGGGAGAGAGTCGCTAATGCGGATTTAATGCTTGGCGCAGCACGTAAGAGAAAGAGGGATTAGAGAGACGTTCGAATCATTGTTGTGGTGCAGTCAATTACGGCGTTTAAGGTGCAGGAGATTATCAGATGAGAGGATGCTACAAGATGCTGATTAGGTCCAGCGCGGAGCAGAGGCATTCGCTAAACGCTCAGTAATTGCTCTTTGGAAAACGTTAGCATACTGTAATTACTCCATAAGACACATGTATTGCAAAGCTATTGAGCGTTTGACCAAAGTACAACATCAGTAATCTCAGGTGAAACTCCGAAAATTGGAATAGTTTAAGTTCTAGGTTTTATCCCCGTTGGAAAGTTTGTCCTCTGCGTTTTAACCGGTGGGGTCGGGCTCAAAAATGTCCAAAATGACGTGCGCTGACATGCTGCAATACCACGCTGGGCCGATGGGGGTGGACCCGGAATAGCTAATGCTAACATATAGCATTAGCTGACCTCTCAAAAACACCTTTATGGGATGGTCCACTCGTTTAAATGAATGGGACTCGTGCAGCTGACGTATGTGCAGATGCGTTTGTTCACATTTTCCAGCCCCCGCGGCCATTTTGAAACTACCCATAGACAGTAAAAGTGATTGCACATTAGTTAGAACGACGGAGACAGTCTATGGTTTTTACCCATCATGCATTGCCACCAGGGCTTCAGGGAGAATGGTTTAAGTTTGGTGGAACATAGATTTGAATGCCTGACCTTCAATTACCTGAATCGAGCTGGGGCCGCAGTAGTGGGAACGCCGAATCCACTAGACCAGTGTTTTTCAACCACTGTTCCATGGTATGTTTGTGTGCCGAGAGATGTTGCTTGGTTTTCCTTTTTTAAATGATCCAATATCACCTCATTGGTCAAAATTATGTGAACAGAAGATAATAAAAGCATGGAAAGCCTTTTTTGTACACAGCAGTCATTTTCATCAGAGATTATGTTGTACATCGGTTTCAGCTGGTGGTGTGTCATGTGACTGTTTCCAATGAAAAAGATGTGCCACGGTTCAAAAAGGTTGGGAACCACTGCATTAGACCAGATTGTACCTCTGGGTTAGCCTTTAAACCTGTATTTCAATGGAACCGGTTATGTTCTGTCTGTGTGAGTGTAAGTAAGTCAAGTTTACTTATATAGTAACTTTTGCAGACCAGAATCACAAAGTGCGTGTGCAGATTCCAGTGCAGTGGAGATGAGAACATACAGTACGTAAATGAATCCACCCAAAATATTGATGCAGACATATCCCCACGGTCCCAACGCAAACCTAACTTAATGTAGGCGTTGAGATCATAAAAACAAGTTTGCAGTGTCATCCAGCCAACTTCCTTTCTACCAATCTAGCCATGTTATACCTCCTCACGAAGCTCTGGATCCAGTCATTAACTTCATTTTCATAGATGGCCTTAGTTTCTGATTGTGTTCCAAAGTTCCATACATGGCGCTCGTGTAGCTGTGGTGCGATAGTTAGCACGGGTAAAACTAAATGCAGTTAAATGTGAATCAATATGGACTTTTTTAAGGCTCAGAACAGACCAAATACAGTCCACAAAGTTTTAACAGCTGGACAAGACTGGAGAGCTAAAGTGGCCCTCTTAATAAAAGGTTTAGACAGCCTTGGTATAGAAATGTTATATCCCGATGCTTCTAGCCACTTGAAGTATAAAAGTATTAACTCATTGACTGCCATTTATCTGAGACTGATGATTTGTGTCAAACTTCCCTCTATTCGACTGGGGATTACAGAAGAACAAAACTAGGAGACTAGGAGACTATGAAAGGAGACAGTCCAATCTTTCAGAATCTGGTTTCATATTTCACCTAGTAATAGCACACAATACTCTGTGGGTCTTGAAAATCAGTGAAATTGTCCAAAACGTCTGGCAGTCAATGAGTTAATGCCTTTTATTCTGGGCTTTGTGATGAAACATTTTTTACCCTTGAAGCAAAGTGTCCATACCCCAACTGTACAGTCTGTGCTACAAGTTATTGCAAACACATACTCACACTTGCACAACAGACTAGACCGGTTTATACAAATATGGGATCAGCCTGGACAGGTTTCGGAGCATTTTAACGTCTGGAATCCGGCCCTGGCCTTTTGTCCTCGGCTCAGTGTAATTGAATGAGTCCCCTGTTCGCCCACCGGCTGCAGAGAGATTGAAATCTAGAGGTGGATCCATGCTCCTAAGGCCAGTATCGACGTCCGGCCTGACCTGAAATGTCCTGACGGCTCTAAGCACACGCCTCCTATACGCTGTGAAAAGACCGGATGAGATTTCTGGTTAAAAGTGTTGGAATAAAGTCGCCAACAAAGTACTGTGTTGAAAGCATGTTAAAAGAGTAATTTAATTTGTTAAATTTGGAAAAAAGTTCAGGTTTTTCTCACTACTTTTGACAGGAATGAACAAAGGAATTCCTGATGTATGTCCTGTATCTATGTATGTTTGTGTCATGTGTAATATATAAATACTATTATACTACAAATATAAATCATGTTTAGATAGATACTGTATTGATCCGTCTTTGTCCAGCAGCAGAAGACTCATCCAGGTCTGTTGTGCAGTCTGACAGCAGAAGGGACAAAGGATCTCAGCCTGTCGAGCCGGTCTCTGTCTCTCGAGGTCAGACTGCATCAAAGGACCTCAGCCTTCTCAGGAGAAAAGTCTGCTCTGACCTTTCTCATAGACAGCATTGGCCTGAGCTGACCGGTCCAGTCTGTGGTCCAGGTGGACTCCAGGGTATTGGACTGAACCACTACGATGTCCTGTCCATTCAGTTTGACCGGTTTATGGGAAGTGCTCCTGTGAAAGTCAGTGACCATCTCCTCGGTCTTGGACGCATTGAGAATTAGTAAGTACAATTACAATGTTCAGAGTCCAGATATTTTTCTAATCATTCCACACACGGATGATGACGGAAGCGAGTCGCCGAACACACTGGTGCTTCAAAGCCCCAATCAACACCATCCATTCACTCAATCGTTACACTCAGACCTATTGTGCATGTTTTTAGTGGTAGGGGAAACCGGAGCACCCGGAGGAAACCTACGCAGACGCAGGGAGAACATGCAAACTCCCCTCAGAGAGGACCTGTTCCGACCCCCCCCTTCACACGTGCCACAGCGGTCGCATTGGTTTTAAAGGGCCCATATCACGGTTTTTGACTTTTCTCTGCTTTAAACATGATTACAATGCTATTTGGCCTTCATACACAAGCCCACAGTAGTTTATTCATTGATTCTGTCAATCTTTTGTAAGAGAACAATCTGTGTCCTTCCCCAGCGTGAGGCACAGAAACGCTCGGGTCCACTTCAGTGACGAAAACCACACTGATGACGAATATGACGCGCATGACCCCGTTTGCTTTGTATTTAAAATAGTTGTTAAATACTTTTGTCAAAACGGGGTAAACAATACACAATTAGTATGCTGTTTTTTGTCAAAAAAAAAAAAAATAATAATAATAAAAATAAATTAAAAGCCGGCGGGAGGTGATTGACGGATCAAAACAGCGAATCAGAGCGCAGGCTCCGGCTCCCGAGTCCAGCGTCTGTGGTCTGGTCTCGCGGACACCACATAGAGCTGCTGTTTTTATGCTTTTGTCAGAAACTAAAAGTGTTAGGATCACGTCAACTTGAATGAAGTGTGTTATGGGTGTAAATATGTGACACACTATTTGGCCCTAAGAGGAAGAAAGCGGCTCGACTTTTTTCATCTGTTCATCTCATGGATCTATTATAAACCGGTTCATCTGCGACACTTCACTGAGACTGTTCCAGAACTACAGGGACAATGGAACTGGACTTACTCAAAGGCTGATCTGGAAACACGTTATTCCCACGGTAAAAGACGTAACTCGGACCCCCTCGATCTGTAAGTAGTGACGCTAACTCGCTGTATACTTCTGTAAACTAAATAACTAGGGTCTGATTGTGCATCGAGGACATAGGGCTCAATGTGACGGATTGTCATTGTTGGAAAAAGTTTATTCTTATGTATGAAATGACTAAGTACAGGTGATAAACGACAAAAGCGTGATGCTACGTCAGCGTGCGGGCGGGGGGAGGCGGGTGAGGGCGGGGGGAGGCGGGGGCAGGCGGGGTGAGGGCGGGGGGAGGCGGGTGAGGGGGGGGGAGGCGGGTGAGGGCGGGTGAGGGCGGGGGGGAGGCGGGTGAGGGCGGGGTGAGGGCGGGTGAGGGCGGGGGGGAGGCGGGTGAGGGTGGGGGAGGCGGGTGAGGGCGGGGGGAGGCGGGTGAGGGCGGGGGGAGGCGGGTGAGGGCGGGGGGGAGGCGGGTGAGGGCGGGGGGGAGGCGGGTGAGGGCGGGGGGGAGGCGGGTGAGGGCGGGTGAGGGCGGGTGAGGGGGGGGGGGAGGCGGGTGAGGGCGGGGGGAGGCGGGTGAGGGCGGGTGAGGGCGGGGGGGAGGCGGGTGAGGGCGGGGGGGAGGCGGGTGAGGGCGGGTGAGGGCGGGGGGAGGCGGGTGAGGGCGGGGGGGAGGCGGGTGAGGGCGGGGGGGAGGCGGGTGAGGGCGGGTGAGGGCGGGGGGAGGCGGGTGAGGGCGGGGGGGAGGCGGGTGAGGGCGGGGGGGAGGCGGGTGAGGGCGGGTGAGGGCGGGGGGAGGCGGGTGAGGGGGGGGGAGGAGGGTGAGGGCGGGGGGTGAGGGCTGGGGGTGAGGCGGGTGAGGGGGGGGGGAGGCGGGTGAGGGCGGGTGAGGGCGGGGGGAGGCGGGTGAGGGCGGGGGGAGGAGGGTGAGGGCGGGGGGAGGCGGGGGAGGCGGGGGGAGGCGGGTGAGGGCGGGGGGAGGAGGGTGAGGGCGGGGGGAGGCGGGGGGAGGCGGGTGAGGGCGGGGGGAGGCGGGGGAGGCGGGGGGAGGCGGGTGAGGGCGGGGGGAGGCGGGCTCACAGGCAGAGGGGCAGACTCTGGATCAGCTCGTTTGAGTCGAGGTGACGTCACCTCTGCACAAGAGATGGCTCTAATCTCACAAGCTTTGATTGTTGTGTGGTGTATCACACACATTAATATCACACATGTGCAGTGGACTGAGTGTGAAACATGAAGAAAAGTGTGATATAGGACCTTTAAAGTATGTTTTTGTTTTTACTCAATCATGATGTATGTAAAAGTGTGATGTACAGAATATTTGATTGTATAATGTATTTGTAATGCACTGTTTTCCTGGTGAAGGGTCTGCTTTTGCTCAAGTCCTTTTAAATGTTCTGTTTTAATTTGCATATGTAGCTTCACCTGCAAAGAGTAGAAACATCTGAAGAGAAATAATTTACACCTTTGTCCAATTCTGAGGAACATTCCTACATCTAGCTTTTGTGCAGTGCATCTTTAAAGCTGGGATACCTACATTTCAAACCATGTGATAAAATGCAAGTTGCTCACTATCTTCTTAGTTCTACCACTAGGGTTTTGCTGGTCTAGATTTTTGGCATCTCTCACATCTTTAGATCAGCTTTTCAGACAGACATCTCAAAATAAAAGGACCACACTCTCTCAACCAATCAGCTCTCAGCCCAAAGAGGCAAATAGTGACTCACGGGGGTCTTTCTTACAAGTTTGCAGAGGATAACATGTGTTCTAATAAGAAGCAGACAGCAGTGATTTAGTTTTAAACAATATTTGACGTTAGCAAGGCTCTTTCTGTTGGGACAAAACATGTGTAATGTATGAGGTGGCTTTTACTTTATTAAAGCTGGGGGACCTATCTTTTTCACGGTTTAGTTACAACAGGGGTCTCCAATCTGTAGCTCGCCAGCCCCTTACAGGTAGCTCGTCAAAGGAATTAGAATATAACAAATACTTTTTGAGCCATTACAAATCTATTATAAGTATAAATATAGGGTTATACAGTATTATGGTGGATTTTATATGTGTTCTCCATGTTTAGTCAAAATTATTAGATAGATTTTTATTACGACTGCAAAAAGAAGTAGCTCTCTGCCTCTTCGTTTCTATAAAAGTAGCTCTCTGAATGAAAAGGTTGGAGACCAATGAGTTTCAATACTGTTTTTTAGTTGTTCCGTGCGACATTTATGTTTTATTAAGAATTATGAACATGGCCTCAGTGGGAGAGTGTCAGCCATTTATTTGTTAATTCTGGGATTCTGACTTTTTGTGCTGTCTTAAGAAACTTGATGAGCAGATGTATTCATCGAGTGTCCTGCTCTTTCTCTGTTTTCGGCGTCACTCAAACACATTTTAGTTATAAAGTGCTTTTCATACAGTAATCCCATCTGCCCACCCCACCGCCAGACAGACCCACCCAAAACTACATTTATTATTAAGTATAGACACATATGCGTATACGAGGTCGAGGAGCCAGTGGAGAAAGAAGGCCCCGGACCCCCACTAAGTCCAAGAGCCAGACCCCCACAAGACCCAGAGGAGAGAGAAGGCCCCGGACCCCCACTAAGTCCAAGAGCCAGACCCCCACAGGACCCAGAGGAGAGAGAAGGCCCCGGACCCCCACTAAGTCCAAGAGCCAGACCCCCATAGGACCCAGAGGAGAGAGAAGGCTCCGGACCCCCACTAAATCCAAGAGCCAGACCCCCATAGGACCCAGAGGAGAGAGAAGGCCCCGGACCCCCACTAAGTCCAAGAGCCAGACCCCCATAGGACCCAGAGGAGAGAGAAGGCCCCGGACCCCCACTAAATCCAAGAGCCAGACCCCCACAGGACCCAGAGGAGAGAGAAGGCCCCGGACCCCCACTAAGTCCAAGAGCCAGACCCCCATAGGACCCAGAGGAGAGAGAAGGCCCCGGACCCCCACTAAGTCCAAGAGCCAGACCCCCATAGGACCCAGAGGAGAGAGAAGGCCCCGGACCCCCACTAAGTCCAAGAGCCAGACCCCCATAGGACCCAGAGGAGAGAGAAGGCCCCGGACCCCCACTAAGTCCAAGAGCCAGACCCCCATAGGACCCAGAGGAGAGAGATGGCCCCGGACCCCCACTAAGTCCAAGAGCCAGACCCCCACAGGACCCAGAGGAGAGAGAAGGCCCCGGACCCCCACTAAGTCCAAGAGCCAGACCCCCACAGGACCCAGAGGAGAGAGAAGGCCCCGGACCCCCACTAAGTCCAAGAGCCAGACCCCCACAGGACCCAGAGGAGAGAGAAGGCTCCGGACCCCCACTAAATCCAATAGCCAGACCCCCACAGGACCCAGAGGAGAGAGAAGGCCCCGGACCCCCACTAAGTCCAAGAGCCAGACCCCCATAGGACCCAGAGGAGAGAGAAGGCCCCGGACCCCCACTAAGTCCAAGAGCCAGACCCCCATAGGACCCAGAGGAGAGAGAAGGCCCCGGACCCCCACTAAGTCCAAGAGCCAGACCCCCACAGGACCCAGAGGAGAGAGAAGGCTCCGGACCCCCACTAAATCCAATAGCCAGACCCCCACAGGACCCAGAGGAGAGAGAAGGCCCCGGACCCCCACTAAGTCCAAGAGCCAGACCCCCATAGGACCCAGAGGAGAGAGAAGGCTCCGGACCCCCACTAAATCCAATAGCCAGACCCCCACAGGACCCAGAGGAGAGAGAAGGCCCCGGACCCCCACTAAGTCCAAGAGCCAGACCCCCATAGGACCCAGAGGAGAGAGAAGGCCCCGGACCCCCACTAAATCCAAGAGCCAGACCCCTACAGCCACAGCAGACCTCAGCTCCCAGTGCGTGTCACATCCATGTGGCTTTTTTGACACACCCACTGAAGAGAAACACTTCTAGACACACATACAGTATATCGTACTTTATGACGGGTCGACCCTGATCATATTGCAGTTACGTAGGGAGGCATTGTTATTATTAATGTTATTATTTTTTGAACAGCGAATCACCGACCTTTTAAAGTCCTCCGAGACGACTGCTCGATTTAGGGCTGCACAAAAATAAACGGAATGGAAATATATCCGACAATAACTGGTTGAACTTAAAAACCAGTTGGCTCACTGCAGCTCTTCTCTCTGTGTCGGCGGTGAAGCATCGGGCTCTGGGCTGCAGTAGAAGTGCAGCCGCCGGGGCAGAAAACCACATTTTCAGAGCAGATAATCACGGCCATTAATCACCACACGCACACTTCTCTTTTCCACAGGCCAGGACCAGGTCAGGCCCGAAGACCGGACCTCCTCCCTGAATATGCAGCCCACCCTCTGCCGACACACTAGGCCATTTACGCTGATTTGTAGCAGCACTTGTGTGAAATTACCGGAGTTATGCTTGTCCAAAATAAATATAATGATAGATCAGCAACTTGGAGTGAATCAAGTGCCCACTGGCTCTTCAGCACAGACAGGGGTAAGTCCATTACTGCGCATTTACGAGTCTACTTTGAACGCATTTACTCTGGCGGAGGTGATAAAGAAGTAGAAGTAGAAGAAGAATATTTCTGGTTAGGCCGCTAGAAAAAGAAATACATGCATTTATGATGTTGGGCTGAGTTGGTGGTTCTGGGCAGGGCCGGTTCCAAGACTGTTTAAGACTAGGCCGTAGAGAAACCAAACATTTTTATCAGTCTATGAAAAATTGAGTTGGTAGTTGAGTGTGTGTATGAAAACAGCTATAGCATGATCAAAAGGTATATAATGCTGTTTTATGTATTCTTCCATTTAATACAAAAAACATGCAAATCCATGTGCCATTGATCTCAAGAAAATTATATAAAAAAGTGGCATTTATGGAAATGTTATATTCTGAATGTGTATTGAAAAAAACTCTTAAACACACTTGTTTTTATTGAACTGATCAAGAAAGTTTAAGTCTCCTTGTTTACTTGATATATTCTCTTCAGATGAGTCCTGGGAAGGGAAAACTACAGAACCTACGCGGACACAGAGAGAACATGCAAACTCAGGACTCATGTGCTGAGCAGGTCTCGACCCCAAGACCGTCATGCTGAGATTTCACAGCACTAACCTCTGTCTGCCACTCTCATAAAAACATACATATAGATGAATTTGTTTTAATGATATCCCGTTAACTAATAATGTCAGACACAGAAGAGACCAAACAATTTAACTTTTTAACACGGTCGGACATCCCTGTTTGCACATTTCTGTCTAATAACATCACAAAACCTTATATTATCTGGTATGGAAGAACCCAATACTTTCATTTCTTGTCTTTTTGCACACCCTGAGTGATCTTTTTCTATGCTCAATGTCTAAATTTCCCCATTGCGAGATCAATAAAGTTTTTCTAATATTTAGTATGACTTATGGGGAGTGATTTTGGACTTAAGGATCTGCTTGGTCCGCCTTTTGGCTCGGGCCTCCGTGGCTGTGTGTATGTTTAAGTCTTTGCTCCTTCCATGGATTCAGTTCATGCCAATCGTGCTCATGTTGTCCATTTGCAACACCACAGATAACACATGATAGTTTTTCCCTTCAAAGCGTACCGGTAATACCCACATTTGTGCCCACATCTCCGATCCATCCCAGCCCATTCTCCGCTCGGATCCTGCACACACTCTTTACACTTTGTTAGCTGGACTCCCGTCGGTCCGTCGCAGAGGTTTATAGACATGTTTTTTCGGCGCTACAGCAGGTGGCCGAGGCTAAGTACCAACACATATGGGCAGCCGCAAAACCTCAATTCGAGTGGAGTGCACCATATTGAAGCCTATTGGAGTGTTTTGCTGCTAGAGAGACGGACTTTTCCACCGG